GAGTGTTCAGGATTCGTGATTGGTTGCAATCATATTTAGTTGTGCAATCAGCGACGTCGTTTCAAAAGTGATCATTCGCAAAGCCTCGGTAATTTCCGTATGCTTCGGGAAAACTAGAACCTCTTCCCCTGCGCGATGCGCAAACATTTCTTCTAGACAGAGCTCAGTCATGTAATGGCGGATCAATTGCGACTCCATCGCCCTCGTTGGCAACGGACAAGCTAGCCATTAAATGTCTTGTGTGTCACATCAACACAAGTCCCCGGCAGAGTGGGGATATTTGTGGCCTCACATTTGCTTGTATTAGTCAAGTTGGATCTATGTCGATGTAACACCTGTTTTGATACGATAGAAAGAAGGGAGATAATTCGTGTTGCGATTTTTTGCCGCTAGGGGATTTTACGAGAACCGGGAAATATGGCCGTATTAGAACAGAGGTTCGTAGGAAGATAAGACTTTTGTAACCTCTGTGGGAAGAGAATGTCTATACCAGGGAACTAGTGGAAAACGCATGTAACTAGAAACGCAAAGTCAAAGGAATGCAGCTAACTCAATTTTATTAAGACAATACATGAGATATTCAAACAAGCGGAACAAACGTATCAATAGCGACGTAACACACCTCTGCTTGATGAACCAATTAGAGTAATTACTCTGAATTACTTCATTCTCTCACTAATCTGTTGTAAAAACAACTCTGTGACTTCATATACATTGCATGCCTCTGTAATTATTGTCATTCACCCGATGAAGGGGCAAGTATTAGCAAACGTTCGTGTGTAAATAATAAAGAAGTTGCACATCCATATGAAGTGTGTTGTATCACCCTACCAACTTCTAAATGCGTATCAAACAACTGAATTACTCTGAACACTCCAGCAGAACAGCCATCGCGCAAAGTAACAAGAGACATCTTGCCCACCCGCTCTACAGACATACACAGATAGGCAATAATCAAGCCAGTGACAAATAATTGTCCGTGTAATTAGTGCCTAATTACAAATCACTCACAGGATGTTAAAAAGACCAAAAAACTATCAGCACTTGGGTGAATGCAAATACACTTAGCAATCCGATAATTGTTTACAGGGACACTGAATATCAGGTGTCCTCTAATTCTGCGTACATGTCATTCTGCCTACAGCTAAAAACAACACAAGGCATGTAGGCAGAATGAGAGTAAACCGAACATCACTCGTTGAGTGAGTAAACGATGTAAGTAAGACTACGTTAGCCTCATGTACAGACACACCGCCACTTGGTCCGGTCAAGTTACTCCATATATGTAGACTAAGATTGAAGACAAACCGCAATAAAATAATGTACCCTGAACAAACATAAGCAATAACACCAGCAGTGTGTGTGGCGCGTGGTCCTGTGCTCAAAGCTCAGGTCACAAATCGGTGAAGCTAAGCAGCGTCGAGCTCGGAGAGTCCTTGGATGGGTGACCGTGTTTGGCAGTTTGACTCTAGAGAGTCTCTAGGACTTGAGTCCTGCCCCACAATGAAGCACATGTGACACATGTGGTCTCACTTTAGGCAAGTGAGTTTGTTCAAAATTGTCCCTGTTCACCCAGCAGGAAAATGGGTACCCGGTGGAAAAAGTCATATGACTATAACCTTCTAGCGCCTAACAGCCAGCTTGGGTTATCCGGGGTAATAATGTGCTGTGCCTTGATTGTTAGCGCTATGAGCATACCTAGTGTGGAGTTTGGCGCTATATAAATGGACACATTATTATTAGTAGTAGTAGTAGTACAGACAGCAGAACTATCTGACTCAATCTGCATTCAGGTTTCCTAGGACCGCCTCCGTGGTGTAATCCCCGACCGCGTCATACCAACTATACTTACCCTGCCTGGCGCTCGGCATTAATGGCACAGCAAGGACTGGTCGGCTTGGAGTCAGTATAATGTGTCTGAGGAGATGGTATCTCAGTGGGCTAGCACTATAAAAGCAGCTGAAGTCTGGCTAGTCCAAGCAGCCACACATCACATACACGCATGCACATCGTCATATGAGCGAAAAAAACGCTCAAGCACGACGTTAAACAGGGTTTCCTAGTGGAGCATTCACATCGTCACCTCAGGCGTTAAATCACTAGACTTCCATTGAGATCAATACTAGGAGACAAACAGTAGCACTTCGTCCACGCATGCCCAGTCTTCAGGTCCGCCTAATTAGTGTGAGTGAATATGTTTTACGCCGCTTTTAGCAATATTCAAGCATTGGCGGAGCCAGAGGGGTGCACACACGCCCCACCCCACTTTTGTCCTGAAAGTTTATTAAATGACCATTGAAACTCTCGTGAAAACGGGCGAAAATGAACTGTGCACCTGGATATATAGGATTCGAACTAACGAATTACGGCGCCTTCGGTGACGGGGCCATACGTGCCCCTTAATGTTTCCAGGAAATTATGTTGACATCATGTACAAATAATACCTTCATATCTGCAGTGGAAGTATCTAAACCCGACCATAGGACGAACAGCTTTCAAAATATACTTGCCCTGCCACGGCCAGGCCTGCTATGGTTTGGTTGTTTGGTTCCAGTGATCAACAGCATGAGCATCGATCTACGCAATTGGGATACGATGACATGTGTCAACCAAGTCATCGAGCCTGATCACCCGATCTCGTTAGTCGCCACTTACAAGCACGAAGCATGAAGGCGAACTCAACTCTAAGATCTTCATGACTGGGTAAAATACTTAAATGTACAAGGGAGATAGTCAAAATAATTACGCAACCATCATATCTTTACACATTATGAAAACACTAAAAGAAAACTCAGTTAAAATTGAAATACATCGTGGCGAAATACTTAGGATAAAGACGACGATTAGGATGAAAATGTTTCTCCTTCATTAAGCGCTTCTTATTTAAGAGGTGTACTGCAATGGTGCTCTTTCTACCCTGGGTTATTTAACAAACCCGCATTTTCTTTTCTCATACTTAAAGAACTTCATATTCCATGTATAATGGTGATCTTCTTTAAATAAAGTCAAACAAATTTAAAATTATAATGCTTCTATTTAATAGCCAACGAACGAGGGTATATGAGGTCAAGACCGTTTCCTGACGATGTTTAGGCTGAACGTTTCGGCTGAAGGATAACGCATCATTTAGTGCAAGGAATCATGATCAATCGCTGTCAGATTCCTGAACTGACAAGTCAAGGCAAGTCTTCACACAATCGTCCTACTGTTGAAAGAAAAATATGAATTTCCACCTACTGACACTTAAAACTGAGTTTCTTGTCATAAAGTTGTTGTCAAAAACAATGTTTTTTGCTCACTGGCACACTTTAAAAGACGATACAGTTACACTGAGTCATTTGTGAAAACCTCCCCGCCTCCAGAAGTGCGTATAGGGTTTCTAAAAAAACAATTTCAGAATATTTCAGCTGGTAATAGATTTCTTGCTAAGATTCCAAAGCGCGGAAATTCCATTTTCGTGGAATAAAAGCTAGAATAGTAATTCGGGGATTATAGGGATAACTGTACGCCAGGAAATGAAATCATTTTGAAGCATCTTTCTGGATCCGTATGATCCGATCATTAACCTGATCCGGCAGCACAGTCGCAATAGACAGACCCCACATTGAATATTCATCTATTTGGCGTTTGATTTGACTTGTGTGTTCGGCGAAAAGCAATATATTGATGAATATTTCAAAACGTTATACGTCGGGATCTGGCGAATTAAGTTTGTAAATCTAAGTGTTTAATCTAAATCAGAGACAATTGTTCATCTGAATCACAGAATCATATTAGAGGAGAATTTAATTATTATAAAATTATTACGATGGCAGTAAAACTGGAATTCTGAAAACTCTCATTGCAAAACATTCTGCTTAAGTTTATCAGGGTGGGACATGCACTTATAAACTTAGAATTACCGAATTCTGTTTTTGAGACGCACGTCTATATTTGTAGGTAAACAATCCACGACATTGTTTTTAATAATGTGTATTGTGATACACAAACCATTGATAATTACTGAAGCGCCTTTAAAAAAAAGCTTTTAACTGTACAACGTCATTAGAAAATAGTTCAATGTGAAATGGATAGTTGTGACCACAAACCTCCTGGATTAGTATAAAATCTGTAACTATTTTAAGGAGTTAAAGGATATCCTTGTATTACTGTGAAAACACAGTGTATTGGCTGCCCAATATGGTTTGATGAATGCGTTTGTAATTAACGTTATTTGGGGTTCTGTTTTGGCTACATAAGGGCGGAATGAAAGCCAAGGGGATCCTGACTGTTAAACTCTCCAAGGACTGAGAGGCCTGCTGAGCCCCTGCCGTTCTTGCTATTACATACAATGAATGAATGAGTTTAGTTTTACGCGGCTTTTAGCAATCTTCCAGCAATATTCCTTCGGGGAACACCAGAAATTGGCTTCACACATTGTACCTATGAAAGGAATCGAACTCCGTTTTCAGCGTGACGAGCGAACGCTTTAACCACAAGGCTACCCCACCGCCCTATTACATACAAGTGTCAGGCACCATAATCTCTAACAAAACATATGTGTTTAAAAAACACGTGTTCAACTGGGAATGCACAGAATACATATTAAATCATTACCGGAGACAGTTTAGGATAATTGTTACGACTGTTTAGCAAAATCGTCTCTTAAAGGAATGTGGTTACACAACTTGCAGCGAGAAGTTATTACCCTCGGTCTGAATCCTAATGGCAGGAAAGAAGAAATCTTGAACCATGACGAGATTCCAAGGTATTGTTTCCTTTCGGTGCTTTTCCCTTAGACATTGACATACTATATGCCATTAGCACAGAAGGAGCAACAAGCAGGATATTTTACATTTCCAAGCAAATTGGCTCCATGCTCATTGCAAGGTAAAGTCTGCATGCTCGCCTCGAAGCGCACGTGGAAAAACCGGCTAAACACGCCCACCGCAGCTAAATCTCGCGTTCTGGTTAATGACGGGCGAGATGATCATAGCAGACGATAATTGTGATCGTCAGCCTCTGGCGGGATATTGAATCAAGAACCGTAACTCTTGTTGGTTTATCATGTCAAACCAGTTAGTCTAGCATATCGAGTGGGTCTATTCATACGATGGTGCACTTATAAACTGTCAGAGGTACAACTGGTGTGTCTACCGGCTACGACTCCACAGGGATCACTAGCTTCAGTGTGATAATGGCGATTGAATCGCCGGACTCGAAATTTGAAGCAGACGACAGACAGCCTCGTTTTCAGGATTTACTTTTTTGCATTCTACCTGTATTGTGAACTCGGAAGAGGAATCGCAAAGTTTGGAAAGTTATTGTGATACTGTGTGATTGTGAATATTCGTGAAATATGAAAAGGAATACCCTCACTCGTCTATTTTATATGACTCTGGGATCAATCTGGATTACTTATGCCACAGCTAAAAAAGGTAGGTCGCTATTGATGACTTATGAACACAATCACAATACAACCAGCGTCTATTATTTACTAAGGACGTGTTTTTTGACCCAAAACTAGGACATGAACTAGCTTACAACCCTCCGTTCTTTGTTGTTCCCCTCAAGCATGCACTGCACAGGATGAAAACACTCAGACAAGTGTTTAATGAATTTGTCCCACTCAACAGTCAGTACGTCGTGCATAGAGTGACTGGCAAAAAACGTCTCAGAAAAACGCTGACGTGAACGGAATCAGATGTGTTTTCCATTCCTCTGACAAAACGTCGAAAAAACACACGAGAACCAAATGTCTTCAACAGTGAGAAAACTGCCATCCTTAACTACTGTGTTACTGTCTCACAAGATAAAAACACATTGTCTGTGTTATCATACATTTTAATTCAGTTAACTGCCCTAGAAGTTTGAAATTTTAGGAAACAGCGACCTGTTACAACTGTTGTGTTCAACATGGGGGATGTTATCAACTACGCCGAACATCCACCATTACCTCATAGTGTATAATCATTTTAACTAGCTAAATGCCTTTAAAGAGCTCCAGCACTAAATTAGCTACTGTTTCAAAGATAACTTTTTGTTTAAATGCTTCAATTATATAAATAAAACATGTTAAGAGATACTTAACTATTAACGTTAACGAAAACCACATCATTTCTAATTTAATCAGGAGTGAATATTGTATTAAAGTTTACGAAGAATACCAATACGTCGAAGTCGTAGTCTCGAAGTTTTCTCTTGGCCATTGTAACCTCCATTTAAAGGGAATTTACTGTAAACTATATTTTCCCACGACATGAGAATGAATTGCATAAACAGATTCGACTTGATATCGTATTTTCTATCTTCAACTAAATGTACATAAACTGACATTTTCAAGTGTGTTCAAACAGCTTGCTGATGTAATTGGGCCGGGAACGCGACTTCAAAGCTTAAAGTTACTTCAGTAGAAAGGAATTCCTCTCGAATATTTGGTCACCGCACGTACACCTAGAGCTAATTGTTGTGGATATTTTGAGACTTCATTGTTATCTAGAAGAATACATGCACGAACGAACTCTTTGATAGTCGGATGAAATGTATCCCTTGATGATAAGTATTTTGAACTCAGCTCTTTATGTTTATTATCTCTCTATATGTGTATCCAAATCCAGCATTATCACATATGGAAACAGTGTTCTAAAATGATGTACATAATTGCATGTGTTCTGTGTTCTCACCAACTTTGATGATGATGATGATGTAAACCTTATTCGCGTCCATCACCTCAACCATAAACATATTTGGATGACATTAATTACCTCGATGACAAAAGGCGTCTTATACATGTGTTTCTAAATGTAGGATTTAGGATGGAGTGTCTATGTTAATGGACCTGGATCCAGATCCGGGGGTTTTGAATCCCGAAGATATTAAGGACGCGTGTTAAATATGTTTTTCTTCCCCCTGCTAATCTGACATGCACTGGTAGTTTAAAAAACATTAAGGGGCGTTGGGGTAGCCCAGCGGTTAAAATGTTCACCCGTCACGCCAAAGGTACGGGTTAGATTCCCCACATGGGTATAATGTGTGAAGCCAGGTGTCCTCCGCCGTGATATTGCTGGAATATTGCTAAAAGAGTTTCATCGGTTACCAATTGCGCAGATCGATGCTCATGCTGTTGATCACTGGATTGTTTGGTCCAGACTCGATTTTTACAGACCGCTGCCATATAGTTGGAATATTGCTGATTGCGGCGTAAAACTAAACTCGGTATGGGAAAAGCACCTGTCGACTCGAGGTCGTTGGTTAATTGGTTGTTTAACATACAAATGTATAGCAACACTACGCGCGTGGGGCGATGGGGTAGCCCAGTGGTTATAGCGTTCGCTCGTCACGCAGAAGACTCGGTTTCGATTCCCCTCATGGGTACAATGTGTGAAGCCCATTTCTGGTGTCCCCCGCGGTGATATTGCTGGCATATTGCTAAAAGCGGCGTAAAACTAAACTCACACTACGCGTGTAGGTGGGCGCTTGCGTCCCCATGTAATTACAAGTGCCGTTGTCTTGACCGCAGCGATAGTGCCCATTTCACCTCAGCTCCTCAAAAAAAACCGTTTCCTGGTTAGTAAAGAATTGAACTCCATTTCTGTATCAAAGAGGGGAAAACTATTAAACACGCAACATGTGTCATATCCATACATTTTCGTCTGTATACAGTAAAAGCTGCTAATCCGGGCGGTATCCAATATGTACAACTGACTTTCAGTAGCGATTTCTCATGGATGTGGAATTTGTTTGTCGCTTCTATCAAATTGTCCAGATGAACTTAAGTTCCTGATTCACAAATGGTTACTCAAGTACTTCCTTATATACATAAAGACATGATTGGCCTAACAGTATTTGCTCGGAATGCTGAGTGCCCGGTCTTCCGGGGTTTCTCTTTAATCAAACGTCAGTGCTGTATACCACAGGCGTAGTGGATGTTGTGAACTAGTTTGGCTGTATGTGGTGGAGTCATTACGTATTACGGGTCCTTTGCAATTATTCAGCCACGTAATTTGAAACAGAGCCGCGGATGCACCCAGTCCTATGTCTTACCAAAAAGGTCATTCTCGTCGCTGAAAATGTTCTCGAAAACACTAATGAACCTTCTTTGGTTTCCATAATATATTCATCTGTTGATTGGACCTGCTGCATTGTCTTTGAAATTGTGTTGCGGGTCCAAAATAAATTGTTTTCATGGGGAAAATATGACTTTATTCATATTTAATCTTTTAAAAACAATTCCAAGGTTCCCGATTCCATCCCCAGGAACTAATCCTTCCCAACCACACACACAGCCACAAACGCACAGGCACATACACGCACGAACGCACGCACATACACACGCATTCGATGACACAAGCACATCTCTCTCTCTCTCTCTCTCTCTCTCTCTCTCTCTCTCTCTCTCTCTCTCTCTCTCTCTCTCTCTCTCACACACACACACACACACAAAGCACCCAAATCGTTCGTATGTTCGTACGTTGCATATACTTGACCCTCTGACAAATTGTTTGCTTTATCCTCCATATCGCACTATCTGCACCGGTCTGGTGCAGGTGCACCGAGTGCGTATTCATCAATTGGGAAGGGTCTTGAGGCCCTGATCATGCACCCTGCCTCTGTATCTCTCGATGAGCACCCCACGCTTCAACACAAAGGGGATGATTACGCCATGCTATATATTCAAGTGTCACCTCTGCTGCATATAGAAGAGGATGAGAAACAAACACTTCATCTGTGTGCCACGTATAGCCACTACCTGACAGCCGTCCCTGAGTTGCCGGTCGTCATGCCCCATTTACTGTGTGAGGGGACCACCTTCATAGAGGTATTTGTGGCAGTAATGCAATTACTGAACTTGTTAAACCGTATGTGTTCATTGAAATATGTTTGATTTGAGATGCTGAATGGGATGCGTCATACTTACGCGCTTTGGGATTCTGGATGCTGCTGTCAATGGGTCTTGGCTTTCTCCATGGGAAATTAGGTTTAAGTACGCTCTGATGTGGTTGGATGGTTTTACTTATATGTGTCATTTACTAGTTAAAGAGTTGACATTAGAAGTATGACTAATGACGTGGCCTTGAGTGACTTCGTAAAAAGCTTTACTGTAAATACACAAAAACACCTGTCCATTTCATAAGAAATATGCAATGAAATCAGAGTCCATTGTGCGATTCTGGAAGTTTATGAACCACTATCAAAAAGTCAGGATACCAGGTATTGCGCCTAACGTTGCGCCTACCCTGTTCCACAGAAGGCACCTGTAACTAATACATGCAAAGGCAGGTCAAGTGTTCGCTTGGACACGGGAACAAAATTTACAAGGCAACATTAGGAATTACACCCGGCGTCATTTTGGTCACTAATGAGCTGATTTAGAGTGAGTGAGTTTAGTTTTATGCCGTTTTTAGCAATATTCCATCAATATCACTGGGGACACCAGAAATGGGCTTCACACATTGTTCCCATGTGGGGAATCGAACCCGGATCTTCGACGTGACGAGCAAAGGCTTTAACCACCAGGCTACCCCACCACCCCAGCTGAAATGTCATCTACATGTCTACCGTAGAAACAGTTTGAAAGATTTACTGAGGCCTACAGTCGGTGACTGTTGGGGTCTGCAATCTGACGCCGGCATGTTACACAATCGAGTTGGGTCCAGGCAAACCATATGAGGTGACTTACAGTAGGAACATCGACCCAGAGGAATATGATGACAAACAATCGACTAAATAACGGAAAATGACGACTCACACCATTTGGTCAACTCGCAACCATAGGCTCCTGGGTATTAGTGTTACTATAGGATTCAGATTGGCTAAATGATTGAATGATATTTAATTACTTGCTTACGCGTTTTAGATAAGAAGTAAGTTTGTAACTATCGTTTTACACAACGTTTAACAATATTCCATCAATATCATGGTGAGGAACGACAGAAATAGGGTTTACCCATTTTAGGAATCGAACCCGAACACTAGGCTCCCTGACCGTGGCTATCATTATAAATTAACGTTTTCCGAATCAAGAAAACGAAAGCTACAGATGCTCACATGAAATTAATATACAGTCCCACACTTTTGTGTCACACGTTGATGTGTCGAATGTTCGGATGTTCCCAAGTAAAAAATTGGTTCCTTTATATTTCAATACGTCCCTTTAAGCTTCGACTCAGTGTTGTTTGACTATTAATTGAAAGTGCGTTTTAACAAATTTACAAAACCTACATCAGTACTGTATGTTGGCGTAGTCTTTCGCTTTCTCCGTTGACTTCTTTGCCCTAAAGCAACTTCAAGAGCCACATTTACCCTGCTCCTCTGAGATCTGTGATTATATGCAACCGAGCGATTTATGGCGCTTGTGCACCTCACATGACGGTATCATTCCGTATCGTCTGCTCCATTCATGGTGCATGCACGTGAGATAGTTAGGACATACATCATG